GCTAGAGTTCAGCGGGATCGGGATCCCGGTCGGGATCGGGCGGGATTATCCCGGGTTTTTCGAATCCCGATCCCGATTTTTCTAATCCCGGTCCCGAAATAAATATCCCGATCCCGGCCAATCTCAATCCCGAGCCGGGATCCGGGATCGGGATCGGGATGTGCATCAGATCCCGACGCAAATCCCGACTTTTTAAATTGACTAGAAGTCTGCAAAATAAAGTTAACAGAAGAGGGGAGGGATGAAAGTAACAAAAATTTTCGCCTGCGGCGCAGAAAATGGAAAAAATTTGGCATCTTGACATCCAAAATTCTCAAAATTTTCGCCTGCGGCGCCGCAAAAATGAACAAGGCTGTCTTTACAACTTTAACGAAATATTGAGTGATTTGGTTTGATATCGAGGGATTGAGAGGAGTATCGGTGGATTTGGAGTATAGAAGGATATCGGTAAATTTACAGGGATTAAGTTAGATTTGAAGAGAAATCGAGGGCTTAAGAGTTATTACTACATGAACATATCACTTAATCCCTCAAGCTCAGTTCTTAATCGTCTACATTTGAACGTAACGTACTTAATCGTATAGACTTGAACGTTTAACTTGAATGCTCTTGGCCTTCCAAAATTAAAAATATTGCCTGCGGCGCTTGAAAGGGAGGAAATCTGGCACCTAGGCCTTACAAATTTTTCAAAATTTTTGCCTGCGGCGCTTAAAATGGAAGAAGTTTAATCCCTTTTATCCCTCCCTACATACTTTATCCCCCCTTAATCCCCTGAACGGGAAAGTAAATTATGCGTCTATGAGACTTAACCTCAATATTTCAGCACTGCAGTAGCAATTTTAGAATTATACTGAGAAGAAAATAAAAATTTAAAAATTAAAAAAAATTTTCAGTAAATCCCGATCCCGATGTCATCAAAAGATGACGAGAATTTAAAATAAAGAATATTTAAAATATAAATTTAACAAAAGATGAATCATTTAACCAAATAAAAGAAAAGAATTTTAAAGAAATTGTTCAGTTTTTTCAGTCTTTTCACCTTTTTCACTCTCTTTTTTCTAGTTTCTTGCTTTTCTTAATAAAATTTTCTCTTTCTTTAAAAATAAATAGATAAAAATATATTTGGAAATTAAAGTTGGAGTTTAAAATATTGGAAATTTAAATTAGAATTTAGAGGTTTAAATTTAATTTGATTGCCCTACAAGAGGTAGGAAGGTGTTAAAATATCTTAGTGCTGATATTTTTTCACATTTGGTGCCACAAAAAAAAACGATTGGTTTAAAGAGCTAAAGGCTCAATTTGAAAAAATTTTTTTTCAGTAAAAAAATTTTTTTTTTTTTGGAAGAGCTAAGTTTGGGAAAGCTCGGTAAAAAAAAAAGTATTAAAAAAGAGATTAATTGAGAATATATTAGTAGAAAATAAATTGATAGTGAAATGTCCGGAACGATAAGAAGCAGTATCGCGCCGTCAATAGTACGTTTGAAGAAATACCTTGAAGAGGTAAGGCCTGTGATAGATGCCACTGAACGTACTGATGAAGGGGTAGAGTTACTCCAAAAAATGATTGTGAAAATTCGCAGGGCAATTGCACTTGTAGAAGAAAAAGTCGAAAAATGGGAGAAATATATCAAGGATTTACCGGCAAATGATAGGGGTGCCGAAGAAGCTATTTTTGCTAGATATGCCATAGAAGAAAGGCATTTTTTAGAGTGGATAGATTCAGGAAGAGAAGCTATTGATGATATAGAAATAGTCCTTGCCGAAGGGTCTGATGGTCGTAGTACGCAATCAGAAGTTTCGGAAGAGATGGGTGTTGGTCCGAATAGGACAAATCAAGCGCGCCGAAATATAAATGTAGAGGAACTCCCAGTTAGAAATGAACAAATGCTTCCTGCTCATCTTCCGCGGACTAGACTTCCGGAATTTTACGGAGATACTCTCAGATGGCCGGAGTTTTGGCAAGCTTTTGATAGAACAGTGGATTGTTTAAATATCGATAACGGGCTCAAGGCCCACTACTTGATCCAGTGTCTTAGAGGAAAAGCCAAACGGGCAATTTTGGGCTATAGGCCAATATCAGAGCATTATGTGCCTTTGAAAGATGCTCTTATAAGACAATTTGGGAACGAAAAGGCAATTAGAGATACGTTACATGCTGAACTAATTAGCTTACCCGTAGCTAATGAATCAATAGGATCTTTGCGTTCATACTTAGAGGAAGTTGAGCGTATTTGTAGATCGTTAACAGCTATGGGGTACTTGGAAGATGAGGCAATTGTAATAATGGCAATAAAAAATAAATTGCCGAGAAATATTGTTTTAGAACTTTTAAAGATGGAAAAAAGCGAGAAAAATGAATGGAACGTCGATAGACTGAGGCAAGGATTGGCCGATATTGTGTCATTAAGGGAAGAGGCACAACGATGCACTCAAAACTTAAATATGCGATCAGTTCAAAATCGCGGAATTATCCCTATTAATGGTGGTAACCAAAGAAATTTTAACAATAACCGTGTACAGGGGAGAAGATTTGACTCTGCTAGAGTATTTTCGTTACAGACACGGCAACGACAGCAAAGAAACGAGAATAGGAATACTTTGAGATGTCTCTTTTGTCAAGATCCGCATTTAGCAGGGAATTGTATGCGGGTAAAATATATTCATGCTAGAATGCGAATGCTTTCAGAGCAAAATAGGTGCTTATTATGCCTGAAAAAAGGTCACGCAAAAATAGATTGTAGAAATAAAATTAGATGTAATGTTTGTAATGGGGATCATAATCGAATAATTTGTCCTAAACTTGTTGAAAAAGAAAGGAAAGGAGAAGATGAGGGTAAAAGTGAAGCAAGAGAGAAAAATATAACGAAAGCTAATGTACTTTCTGTTAAGAATAGAGATAAAAACGAGGTATTATTGATGAAAGCTGATTTTAAAATTTGTGCAGACAATGCAATAACTTATTCAGCTACAGGTATTTTTGATTCAGGCTCAACAGTTAATTTTATTAGCGACGAGAAAGTTAAAGAAATGCGTTTAAAAAAGATAAATAAAGCAGATTTGAATATTTACCCATTTATGCAGAAACAACCAACACGTTTAGGTACAGCGTGTTATTTGGTTAAAATTTTAACAGATAGAGATGAAACGGAAGAAATTGTTGCGTATAAAATAAAAAAGAGTTTAATGCCGAGTATAAAATATGCAGATATCACAACTGGAGAAATTAAATCATCGGAAATTGTCCCTGATATATTAATTTCCATAAAACACTTTTGGAGATTTTTCAATCAAGTAGAACATCTCTCGGACTATTTATTTAAAGTAGAGACGTCTGTAGGACCTATTATATGTGGAGAAATTATAAATAAAGACAAAAAGGAAATATCTCAAAATAAAAATTTAGTAGCTATTTTGGGATCAAAGGAAACGAAAGAGGGAGAGGATATGAATAATTTTTGGAATTTAGAAACGATAGGAGTAAGAGACGACCCTAGAAATAAAGATGATGAGGTTGCTATGAAATTCTTTGAAGACACAGTTAAAAGAAGTGAGCACGGTCGATATATTGTCAAATGGCCGTGGAAAGTCGATAAAAGCAACCTGGCATCAAATTTTTCATTATCATATAAAAGGTTCATGAGTCTATTTGAAAAGTTAAAGAAAACACCGGAATTATTTGAAAAATATGATAATATAATAAGAGATGACGAAAAAAGAGGAGTGATAGAATTGGCTGAACGAAATAAGGATAATGTCGAACATTTCCTACCACACCATCCTGTTATCACTCCTAAAAAGATTCGAATAGTTTATGACGCATCAGCCCGAGTTAAAGGGGGTAAAAGTTTAAATGACCATTTATATCGTGGTCCTATAATTATGCCAGATTTAGCTGGCCTTCTAATACGTTTTCGAATACCAAAGATAGCGATGTGGTCGGACATTGAAAAAGCCTTTCATGCTCTAGAATTGGACCCAGAAGATAGAGAAGTTGTTAAATTTATCTGGGTAAAGGACATTAGGGAGCCAATATCGTTAAAAAATATTCAGTACTATAAATTTGCGAAAGTTCCATTTGGAGTAATTTCGAGCCCATTCCTTCTTTCTGCGACAGTAAGCCATCATTTGGGATTAGTCGATGATCCAGTCGCTAAGATAGCAAAGAAGAATGCCTATGTTGATAATTTACTTATTGGTGTTGAAACGAAAGAAGAGGGTTGGGATGCTTATATTCGTTTAAAAGAAATTTTTAAATCGGCAGATATGAATTTAAGAGAATTTATTACCAATAACGAGCAGTTAAATTCATCGCTTCCCATCGAGGATAGATTAGAAAAAAGTGAGCCTAAAGTGTTGGGAATACCATGGAATATTAAAAATGATAAAATAATTGTAAAATTCCCTCTAATAAATTACGTGAAAATAACAAAGAGAAACGTACTCTGTCAGTTAGCAAGTATTTTTGATCCGCTCGGTTTTGCGTCTCCAAGCTTGTTAGAAGCAAAGTTATTCTTCCAGTCGTTATGGGAAAGTAAAAAGGAATGGGACGAAAATCTACGTGAAGAAGAAGCTAAGGAATGGATAAATATAACCAAAGCTTGGGAAACCCCTGACATTGAATTGGACAGAAGATTAATTCAAAGTGAGTATAGATGCCAACTTCATGTATTCTCTGATGCATCTAAGAATGCTTACGCTGCTTGTGTTTATGTACTAACGAGAAATAAGGACACCACAACGATCCATTTAGTTTATGCTCGAAACAGGCTAAGGCCAAAGAAAATGCCTATAAGTATACCAAGAATGGAACTATTAGGAGTAGTAATCGCGACACGAATAATTAAATTTGTAGAAAGACAAATAGGAATTGAAGTAAATGAAAAATACCTTTGGTGTGACTCAAAGTCAGTTCTTTATTGGATAAAAAACAATCAAGAAAAAGAAAAATTTGTACAAAATCGAATAAAAGAAATAAGAACTAATATTGATTTAAAATTTGGTTACGTTCCTACTGAAGGTAATCCGGCAGACATAGGGACTAGAGGCTGTACGCCATTAGAGTTACGAGCAAATAAACAGTGGTGGTATGGCCCTGTTTGGCTGGAAGGACCAAAAGAAAACTGGCCAAGTGAACTTAATTTCCAAATCAATGAAGAGAAAAGTGAGAATGAGTTAGAAGAGAGAACGGCAGGAATCAATATTTGCGCTAATAATTTCAAGGATGAAAATTTTATTGAAATAAATGATTGGAGTAACTGGCTCAGATTAATAAGGTGCATAGCACGTGTTTCTAAAATAGCAAAAAATTGGTTGAATAGATGTAAAATTAAAATTACTAGTGAAATATTAACGAAAATAGACAAAGAAAATTCGATTAATGTTATTGATATGAGAGAAAGTGAAAAAGTAATTTATAGAATGGTACAAAAATCTTTAATAAATTCAAAAAATAATAATATAAAATTAATGAAAGATTCTGACGGTATATTACACTTACAGTCCAGAATTAATAATTGTGAAGCTGATGATGGGTTTAAACACCCGATAGTACTTCCTAAAGGTAACCCAGTTAATAAATTAATCATGAAGTATGAACACGAACGACTCTTACATTCTGGAGTTGATGCAACTCTTGGAGCATTCTTATCCAAGTTTTGGGCCCCTTGTAGTAGAAGAGATGCGAAAATTATAGTAAAAGGCTGTAAAAAATGCCAGAGAATAATTGGACCAACATTTTCACTACCTGAGATGCCAAACCATCCTAAAGAGAGAGTATGTATATCAAGACCGTTTGAGTCTGTAGGCATAGATTATCTCGGTCCGTCGATATGTAAAATTGATGGAAATAAACAGAAATTTTGGATTGTTTTGTTTACATGCTTTACTACTAGAGCAATACATTTAGAAATTGCCTTCGAGTTAACAGCTCTAGCTTTCTTACATACATTACGTAGATTTATAGCCCAAAGAGGAGTACCTACAAAAATCATATCGGATAATGCAAATCAATTTAAGGTTGTTTCCAAGAGTATTGATGCAAAAATAGTTGGGAAATGGAGTCAAGATAAGCAATCAGAGAACAATAAATTTAATAATTTTATCACAAATCGAGGGATAGAGTGGAAATTTATACCGGCACTCTCTCCCTGACAAGGCGGTATATATGAAAGATTAGTTAAACTCGTAAAAGATTCTTTTAAAAAGACACTTGGATGTGCTATTTTAAATGTTGAGGAATTAAAGACATTTATAAAGGAAGTAGAAATGGCAATAAATTCTAGGCCTTTAACTTATGTGTCGACTGAAAGTGAAGGATTTTCAGTTCTTAAACCTGTAGATTTCATAATACCCAATATTGATAATAATACACACTTGATTGAAGAAACAGAAGATATAGAAGAAGAATATAAAACAGGGAGATTAAGTGGAGCAGACCAACTGAGAGAAAAATGTAGTACACTTAGGAAAGCATTAGAACGGTTTTGGAATAGATGGTCAAAAGAATACTTATTGGTTTTACGTGAAAAGTCAGGATGGTCACACCAAAATCCACGTACATCCATAAAACGAGATCCAACGATTGGAGAAGTCGTAGTAGTACAACAGGAAGGACAACCAAGAAATTCTTGGACTTTAGGAAAAATAATTGAGTTAGACGGAATACCATCTCGAAGTGCAAAAATATTAATTGGAAATAAGAAATTAGTTAGACCCATAAATAAATTATTCCCTCTCGAGGTGAATGAAGAAAGTACACCGAAAGACGAAAATAATAAAAAAGAAAAGGAAAAAGTTGAAATAAAAACTAAAAATAGAATCAATAATCTAACCGGCAATACAAATAAAAATATAAGTCCTCATCCTATGATAACGAGATCGAAAAAAGCACTTTTATTGCAAATAGTGCAATTTTTATCAATATTCATTTTAGTATTAACACAAGAAAGAGGACCAATAAGGAGTTGTAGAGGTTGTAAACTTATATGTAAGGATTATGGAATTAAAGTTATTGGATTACCCGAAACAAAGAAAATAGAAATTTGTTGTATGGGTAGCTGCTTACTAGAAACAAACTCAATTAATATACTTAAATTTTCACTCCCAAAAGATGTTACCCCACTAGAATATAAATGCCAAGTGACATTTTGGGATAGATGGAGGAAATATAGAGACCGAATAACTTGTCCACCAGTAGATCCATGTAAAAGAGTTGAAGGATTTTTTGAAAGAATTACAAATCCTCAATGTGAATCTTTTGAAACTTTAATATTAGTTGGTACATTTACTGGAATTATTTTGAGTATTTCAGTTGGATTATTAATGTTTTTGTGTAAATTATTTGTTATATTCGGATGGTTGACACATTCTATTTGGAAAATAATACAAACAATATTCAGACTTTTTAAAGGAAAAGGAGTGACTAAAGTACATGAATCGAGTAAAAATTTAATTGGTAAATCTAAAACAGGTGCAAGGAATAGTAAGAAAATAAAAAGAAACAGACGTTTACACAAACTTGGGATAATTGGATTAATAATTCTCGAACTCATTGGTTCAATTATATGTGAGATAGAAGTAGTTTCGATACAAGCTAAATCAGAAGACTGTCAGAGGAAAGCTGGTAGTTATTCTTGTAAGATAAATACTGTTAACACATTAACAATGCTTCCTGACGGTCAAATAATTTCATTATCGATTAAGAATGAAAAAGGAATGCTTATGGGAGAGTTAGAATTTTCAATGCCCGGTTTATCAATCCAATGTAATCAAAAAACGATAAAACATCTGCGGTCATATGAAATAAAAATAGGGTCAGTAAAACGGTGTCCGGCTGACGGAAGCTGTAAAGCTGGTCGTTGTATACATATAAGAAGAAAAGAGAAAGTACCCGAATTAAATGAATGGTCAAATAATCCTGGAAACGCATATTGTATAGAAGGGCAGTCTCTTTGGTCCTATCAATGCGGATTACCAGGATCTGCTTGTTATTTTTATCAAGTATATGCGATTAAAAAGTCAGATAAAATATTCGAATTAGTATCATGCCCGACATGGGATTATCTCATCGATTTAGACGTTGGTCTTATTCTTAATGGAAATCTGACAAAAAATAAATTTTCTTTATTTCCGGGAATGACGTTCCATTGGAAAAATATAAAATTCACACTTGTTGATTTAATTGCCCCAATGGCACCAATTTTGAATAATAAATTCCTAGTAAGTGATGACGGTGTTGCACTAACCGAAAATTTTGAAACTGCACTTGAATGTGGAATTAACGCAGACAATTTTTCTTCGTGTGTACTAAATTCAAATGCCTGTGGCGAATGTTGGCTAAATCACGAGGAAGAAAGAATAGATTGTGCGTGCAATGATTTATCACTAGAAGAAATAATGAAAGATCCTAAAAGAGCACTTCCCCTCGATATTAAAAGAATAAAACTTAGAAATAACGGAAGAAAAATCTTTAGTGAATCAAGTTATCTTCCAGTTCAGCTTATGCTTCGAATGGAGAATTGGAGTATCGCGGCAAATATGGATATTTCCATTTGTCATATAACACCAATTAAGTTGATGGGTTGTTATAACTGTTTGGGCGCCGCATTTAAATTCACCTGTAAATCTGATTTTGGCAATCCTTTAGCCGAGATTAAATGTGAGAGTGGTAATGTTTTCACTGGAAAATGCTCAGCTAAAGGCATAAATCAAACTGTAGCCTTATCGTTTAACAAAGCACTAATTAATGAGAATTGTAACGTAGAATGCCCGGCAGGCATAACTAATTTTACACTTACTGGTACACTTGAATTTATTCTTCCAGAAAAGAATAAATTAATTATAAAAAATGGAGATGTAAAAATTTTAGAAAAAGATAGTATATTTGATATTTCTAATATCCAACTCCTCGATATGAACGGAATTTTATGGGAGTTATTAAATCTCAAAATTATTGGCATATGTCTTATAGTACTACTCTTGATCTTTATCGCTATAAAATTATTTTTAAAGTATAGTCCTTTCTTCAAAGCATATAGATTGATTGTTACAATACTATTAATCATTTTCTTGGCGGGAGGGCCGCATTATACAATGGCGGAAAGAAAAGAACACCGCCTTTTGGCAAAAAGATATGACCGACTTCTCTCGAAAATAGAAAGTAGGAGGGAAATAAGGGAAATAATGATTCAAATTGATAACCAAAATTTCCTTATAATAAACGAAAAAATGAGAAGAAGCTCATTCTCAAATAATTTTAAACAAAAATATTCACCAAAAATGTCTATAATTTCTTTAGCTGAATTTGCTTCTAATCTATTTGATTGTAGAGAAGAATTAGCAATTTGGCGTCTTCATTCTTCTCCATTTGACCGTAAACGCCTAGAGCGAGCTTTAATCGAGGTAGAAATTAATGGAGGGTGGATAAAAGCCTGGGGTAACGGCCCGCTTGAGATTAGTAATTGGCTTTTCGTAACCATCCAAAAGAATTGGGCAATAGTTTGTGATAAACCTGAGGAGGCCGTGGTCCCCTCAGGTATGAAAAAGTCTTGGTGGTCTGGAAGTTGTACCCAGACTTTTGAAGAATTAAAAGACTATCTAACGGAGGATGAGGATGGGGACACAATAGTAGGTCCGGGAATCCTCCGCGAAGATAACGTTCGGGAAACAAGTGAATTCTTTCCCTACTCTAGTATTTTTATTGAGGAAAATAAAGTTGAAGAAGAAGACAATTATTACCCGAGGGTCGTAGAAGAATTACCATGGTTTGAAGTCCAGGCCGAGGCGCCGGGCGAAGAAAGTGGCACAGTAAAAGGAATCGTTGCTGATTTGGAAATACCCGAGGGAATAATTGAGGAATTAAAATTTGAATATTTTAAGGGAAAGAAAGCCAATGCACGAGCTGTTGTACGACCAGAAAAGCATTTTGATGTGCATGGTCGTGAAGTTGCTAATATAGAAGTGAAATTCAATTTACGTTTCAAAATGACTGGTATTGGAATGCTCATGTTTTTACTTATTATTGGAGTAGCTAAAGCAATACCGGAAAAAGATGGACCATTAGATGAATCTGAAATTTGGGACAAATACATAGATAATGATAATGAAGAACGTGAGAGTGCTAAAACAGGTCCCATTTTATTAAGTGGAACAAATAATATAAATCAAGGTTTAGTAAGTGCAACCTTGTCAGATGAGCAAATGCGTTCTCAAATTGAAGCAATTGTTCAAGATTTAATTAAAAAACCATCTACTTCTTCAAATCCTTTATTTAATTCTGTTACTTCTAATAATTCCAATCTGCTAACGACACAACAAAATATGATCCAACCACACATTTATCAACAATTACCTAATTATCAAAGTCAGCAAAATCAATCAACATCACAGCCAATATATCAAGGTCAATTTAATGCTCCGCAACCTTCAATGCCAATACAACAACATAATATTAGACAAGATTTAAGAAGAAACGCTGGAGGCGTAATAAGGAATCGTCGCCGCTGCTTTAATTGTTTAAATATTGGCCACTTAGCCAAAAATTGCTCTCAACAAGTAAATACTGCAGCAATTCCACCATCACCACATACTAATAGAAATTCAACAAATAGAAATGCCAATTCCCTACAAGGTACAGCAATAGAACTTCGAAATTTGGGCAATCGTAGTAACAACGAATTAGTAGCACAACTACTTTGGGCCCTGGCTCGACTTCTAGTTAACCATAGTGATGGATCTACTTTTTCTTGATGCGCAGTGTCATCAAAAGATGACGAGAATTTAAAATAAAGAATATTTAAAATATAAATTTAACAAAAGATGAATCATTTAACCAAATAAAAGAAAAGAATTTTAAAGAAATTGTTCAGTTTTTTCAGTCTTTTCACCTTTTTCACTCTCTTTTTTCTAGTTTCTTGCTTTTCTTAATAAAATTTTCTCTTTCTTTAAAAATAAATAGATAAAAATATATTTGGAAATTAAAGTTGGAGTTTAAAATATTGGAAATTTAAATTAGAATTTAGAGGTTTAAATTTAATTTGATTGCCCTACAAGAGGTAGGAAGGTGTTAAAATATCTTAGTGCTGATATTTTTTCACACCCGATTTTTCAATCCCGGTCCCGATTCGGGACCGGGATCGGGATCTACAGTCCAAATCCCGATCCCGATTTCGGTCAATCCCGATCCCGTGTCGGGATCCGGGATCGGGATCGGGATCACCATTCCTAAATCCCGATCCCGGGTTTTTCTCAAAATCCCGATACCGCTGAACTCTAGTAGCTGCATGTAACTTCAAGGAATTTGTTCAACTTGATACATATATCTCTGATTGTCATAAATATTATATAATATTTTAACAATTAATTAAATATAAGTTACATTCTACCTTTAAAATTTTATTTTCGATTTCATTAAACTGAAAAATCATTTTAACAATTAAATCATTCAATTTAAAGCGATTAAACATTTTTTAGGATTCCTAATGCTGATTTATGCCAATGCCAAATAAGCAATGATGATTTTAGACCTAATTATTGAAAGATTTATGTATATTATAAATAATATAATTGGAAATATTTTTCTATTTAATTTCTAAAAATTTTTTTTATTAACCCAGTGCATATTTAATATGTACATCGACTAGAAACAAATAGAAAACCAAATACTCGATACCAATCATAAGGAATAAAAAATGCGACGAAGAAATAATTTTTTGTTTCGAAATTAAATTTAAAAAAACTTCCTGTTAAAAAATATTTTTATTTATTTCTAAATAAAATTTCACATAAACTCGCGACTTCATTATTTGACTTTTTTTTGTCTAATTTTTAAAATCCTTAAAGTGCATTGCACTCTTTATCCGGTAATTTTATTATAAATAAAGGGGAAACTCTCAATATTATTTTATTTAATATATTTTTTAATAAATTAACTAATTAAATCACTGGCTCATACATATTTAATATTATTTTTAATAAAAATCTTTGTTTAATTAGCAAATATAATTTTTAGAAAAATAAAATGGAAAATAAAATTATTTTCAAAAACATTTTTATTTTTTTATTTTTTATTTTAAAAATATTTTCAAATTTTGATGAAATTTGTGGAGGAAGTAATTAATTTTCAAATAAAAAATTAATAAAAGTTGAATTAAATTTATTAAAATAAATTTTAAAAAACTTGATCAGTTTAATTAATTAAATAGCTAATTAATTAGTTAACTAATTTAACTTTAATTTTTATTCAGATTGTCTCGGAGGACGCAGATCACAATACAGTAATTTAAATTTTTAAAATATAATGAGAGAAATTAACGAAAAATTTTTTGTTTTACATTTGGTTTTTGTTTGTAGAGAATTTTTGTTTTTTTTTAGTTTTTGAATTTTTTGTTTCAAAAATTATAAAAATTTTTGTTTATCAGATTTAATCGGAGAACCGACTACTATGATTGCAAGCACATCAAGTGAACGAGGTATTTTTAATAAAATTAAACTGCAAATAATTAATTAAAAATCTATTTATTTTTAAGGACTTGATGACCCTTTTGATAATTTATTAAATACTGATGATGATAATAATCAATT